TATTTATATCTTGGTGTTTTTTTTTTTTTTTTTGTGCAGCACTACAGAGCAACTCCAGGGCCTCAGGCACACTACACAAGTGTTCTATCACTGAACAGAACTCCCAGCCCAAGATTAAAAAAATAAAATAAAATTCTACTTTAAATAACACAAACTTAATCTGTTTGTAACAATGTCCTTACTTTGAAGAAAAGTAAAAATGGTTAATACAACAATTTATCACACGTTTCTTTAGATTCTATTAATACTACTAGAAAGATTTAAAAGCAACATCATCACTCCTAATCCAAAGGTGCTCTGGGGACCCTGACCTGGTAGAGGCTGGTTCGTTCCATGAGCCTGTCTTCACTCTCCTCCACCAGGCCCACACTCGGGATGCTGTTCTCCACCACCTCCAGCTGTCTGCTGAGCTCCTGCCAGTCCTCATCCAGATGGGACCAAGTCTAGAAATGTAATGTTACTCTATGAGCTAAATGATGCTCCTTAGAGAGAAATACTCCCGCTCATGCGCAAAATATGCTCTCGTGAGGGTCTGTTTCAAGTATGGGGCACGTTTAGGTTGGGGTTTGCTTTGGGAAGGAAAAATAGTTTTAAAGCAAAGAATCAGATAGTTACCTTCAAAAACACTATAAATGGGTATTAGTACTGCAACCTACTAGCTGTATGACTATAGCTAAGTGACTGACCTTCATTTCTTTAGTAGGATATCTATCTTTTCATACTAAAGAAAAATTCCAAATAAGTCACTTCTAAATACAGACATTTGTGTATAGCAAAGGCCGGCAGGTTGTTTTACATGTATATACTTTGATCTGGTGAAGAATAGACAACAGAACATAATAGTCATGATCCATGTTTTTTCCATCCTGAGTCCTTATTGCTATGCCTTGTCTGAGGCTTAGGGTTCTGGTGGTGAATAAAATAGGATGCATGAGAATAATACATGCATTCAAGAGAGAAGAGACCAGCAATACACAGCAAGCTGGAAGTTGGAAGGTAAAGAACAAATTTCATCAATTATAAAGAGTTCTTGGGCTGTGGAGGGATTAAATTGTGCTGAGTGGGGAATGAGGGCATGCCAGGGTGTGCTTGATGAGGCTGCAACTTAAATGATGTGGCAGGGAGGGTGGCACTAAGAAATGCACGTTTCAGCCAAGGAAGCCAGACAGGTGTGGTGTAATTGCTGACTCCACTGCCATTAATCATGTGCTACGGCAAGATATTGCTCTCAGAGTCATTCCTATGAGAGAGATTCAAAGTATATTTTACCATGGGTGGATTCACATAAATGTAAAATGCCTACTTGGGAGGCTGACGTATCACTGAACAGTAATTGTTCCGACAAGGATTTGAAATATTAAAATTTCTTCCTGATGGTATCTTACATATGGGAATTCCATGTCTGGAGTTTTTGGAGTTAGCTAACTATGGTAGTGCTGGCTCATGGAGGAAGACAAGATATATTAAAGTATAAATAGGAGCTACAGGTAATCCAAGTAAGAGTGGTAATGTTGGTGGAGTAGATAGGGAAGAAAAGGCAGAGAAGGGCCAGGGAGATAGCCCAGCAGCATAAGCACTTGCATAGTAAGGGTGAGGTTCTGGGTTTGATCCCCAGTACTAAAAAAGAGCAGAGAGAGAGAGAGAGAGAGAGAGAGAGAGAGAGAGAGAGAGAGAGAGAGAGATAAAGAAATATAATCCCTAAAATTTTTATGGGACAGAGGAGTAATGAGAAAGCTAGAGTGGTTCAGGCCAACTGGTTTAGTTATTGCATGAAAAAGAAGTGGACTATTTTATTAGTGATGCCTTGCATTTATGTAGGGTTCTACAGCTACACTAATGAGCACCTCTTTGGTCTTCAAGGTCATCTGCTTATGGTGAAGCTAGGTCTGGTTGGCTCTACAGCAATGGTATGCAACTCTTTTCCAACTGAATGAGTGAATGAAATTTCACAGCATCCTCTTGTATCAGGCAGGACAACAAACTCAGACCTGGGCCCAAGGTGAATGCTACAAATCTGTGAGCTATACCAGATTTCCTCACTCCCGTCTGGTCTTCTCTGTCTTATAATAAATGGACCATCTGTTTTCAGACTTGGACTGAACAGTATCTGCATCTACCAATTAACCACACATGATGGCAAGATCCTGCTGCCAGGTCCACGTCCATGTCTACATGAGAGATGGAATGACAAAGACTTGGACCCAAGTGCCTGTTCTCTGGCTTCTGGATCTTAGTGACAGATCTTGCCATTAGAGCAGTTGCATTGGGTAAGAAGCTAAGGATATATTTTTACATTTTTCATGCTCTTAGTTAGGTCTCTTTCAGCTTGAATATCAAACCCTCATATCTCTTCATGCACCATCTGAAGTCATCATCCTAGATGACTTACAGCACAGAACAGTATGTACTCAAATAGAAATAGAAAACGAGAATCAGGGAACACATAACGGTAGGGAGAACATAGTTGTGAGCCAGGATGCACAGCAAGCTCCCAGGTCATGGAGGCAGAGCCTGTGATTAAACACAGCCCTGCCGACGGTCTGCTCTGCGGCCTTACCTCCAGGATGTACTCCAGCTCCACACCCCTCTTGTGTGCCCGCTTCAGCACAGCACACGCCTGAGCCATAAGGTCTGTATGGCACTGGGTCTCCTTTGGGATGGCAAAGCTGACGATCTTTCTGAAGAGCGTTTCTGTCAAGATCATATGAGATTCCAGGCCCTGAAAGTACTCCTGCAATTTTGCCAGTAGAAAGAGGTCAACAATGCATTCATATATACTTCAAGATAAAAATTGTTTCAAACACGAAAGCTATTGGAACTCAGTGGTATCATTTGGCTTCCACTCATCTCTTGCCTTAAGGAGGCACATGACTGGCTGGACACACTTCCTGCACAGACTGGCATTCTGGGCCTTGAACGGGCCTCCTGTCTTCCCAAATGGCCTACACACACTGCTGTGCTATAAGCATGAGGTCCCCAAAACAAAGCTCTTCCTATATGACCAGCTTCTAAAAACCCCCCTTACCCTTGTATTCTGGCCATTTTTATTTCCCTGACAAGATCTCACTAACCCCACCACACCAGTGGCAAACAGTTCCCATCCCCTGCTGCTTACACCCTTCTCAAGATGTTGGCAGGTAATACATTCCGTGACTTTCCTTGGCAGCTAGGCTTAAGCCCTACTTTTTTTTTTTTTAAATTAATTAATTTATTTATTTATTTTGTGTGTGTGTGTGTGTGGCCAGCTCAGCCCACCAGGGGGCGGGGCTGGCTGGCATGTGGTGCTGGGGGATTGAACCATGGTCCCTGTGCTTTGCTTAGCTTAGCTTGTTCTAAGTGGGTGCTTTAGACCACTGAGCCATCTCACCAGCCCTCTACTTTCTGAAGTATCATGATTAATTTATTTTTCCTGTCAAGGAAAGCCTAATTGGTATGAATAGCCTAATTTTGTATTCAGCATTTTTAAATTTCCTGTTAATTTTACCTTAATGCAACAGAACTGTAGGCCTTGTGTGACTCTAGGCACATTTTTAAGATGTCTCTTTTTACCCGTGGTAGATCCTGAGGGATGGAGAATGACCCTATTCCTCTTCCTCTGTTCAGCACCAGGAACAGCCAATACTCTCTGAGTAAATACTATTTTCTGGGCACCCAAAGACTCCTTAAGTGACTCACAACATCCTTATACCAGATCTATATCTCTGTGAGACAGGTCACACCATCTGTGTAGCTTGGCCAACACTGTACAGCCCAACATGGCAGAGATGGGGCAGGAATCCATATGATAGGGCTAAATCTGGGCCAATAACACTGAGGTAGAACAATCATTTTACCAAAGTATCTTAAAGTTGGAAGAGAGCTCAGAGGGCATCTAGAACAATGTGCAATGAAAGCTGAACTTCCTTCCACAAACTTTCCCTCCGACAGGACTGCTCATGATCAGAGGGACGCCTGGCCTGCCGCAGACTCCTCCTATGTCACTGTTACTCATGGATCTTAGCTTCCCTTTAGAATATCTCAGAATGATCTTTTATTGCTCTGGTCAGATTTGAGAAAAGCCAGCTGTGCACTTTGAAGCAATATTTACTAAGTCAATGGATAAGACTTTCATAAATCATATTTTGGACAAAAAACTCTGGAAAAAATAGCAAGAAGGAAAAAATCCTTCCCCCAAATCTATCATTATTAACTTCCAGACAGCTACATAATGGTAGGATGTATTGCTTTTCTACAATTCAATGGTATTTTTGTTTGTTTGTTTGTTTCCTGAAAGGGAATTTCCGTAGCCTGAGTGGTTTTCTGAACTGGTTGGCAAACTGTAAACAGTCATTGCAAAAAATGCTTGGTAGGGGTGTGTGTGTGTGTGTGTGTGTGTGTGTGTGTGTGTGTGTGTGTGTGTGGTCTGTGCATGTCAAACAGGTATTTCTTTATTAAAAGTAGTATCCAACCTGAGCTTGGCTTCAGCACAAACCAATCAAGGGATTTCATGCCTACCCAAATTTGATTACGTAGCAAAAGGACACAGTGTCCTCAGGAAAACCTCTGGCTTACACCAACAAGAGGAGCATGTGCTTAAGGGCCAGGAGAAGCAAATGACGCATGCGGTGCACATAAACCCAATCCCAGGCCCCAGTGGTCAGCTCTGCCTTCCTGAGCAGGGTAACTGCCTCCTACCAGGATAAGGGGAGGAAAAGGGAAAACCCAGATCTAAACTGGCAAATAACTATGAGGAACATCTAGGAAAAATCAGTTAATAAGGAAGTTAGGCTCCTAAAGAAAGTCTTTGAGTTTTGCTTTGATTACGTATTATATAACAAGAGAACCTGGTTGACACCGATAAAAATTGATAAAATTACTGCTAAAGATACATATTTTTTAAATTATAGAATTACAGAATTTTAATGTATAGAATTATAAAATGTATTCTGGATTATGAAATACCAGTGGTTATGCATTTAGTGACCATCTTAAAGAGTAAATTATACAAGCAGAAACTCAAACAAAGATGATAGATATGAGAGCTTGAGAATAACTTTCACAAGTACATCTGCTTTCTCTTTCTTTTTTACCTTATGTTTGTCTAGTAATTGCTGAACTTCCTCTTTGGAAGAGACGATGATTTTCTGATCTCCTGCCGTCTTCTCCCATCCAGTTTCTAGCAGGTCTGCCAGATCTTGCAGAGCCCTTTCATACTGACTCTTAAGTACAAGATTTTGGTTCAGACCACTCTTGCGTGAGCCAATGGTCATCATCAGCTCATCATACATGTCCTAGGAAACAGAGACGTTACACTCACCCTCAGTTCAGAGTCTGCACCTCTCCAAGAGCACATTACCTGCCAGCCCTCCCCAGCCATGACAGCTCCTGGTAGTGTGCCCTGCAGGGATTTTCTCCAGCCAGCTCCTCTGCTTGTCTTTCTTGGAACCTTTATTCTGAAAACTTCTTTCAAGAAAGATAAGCTCTGCGCCTCTATCCCCATGCCTATAACCTGTCATTTATAGGACTGTGGCTTCACAGAGGTTTCACATCAAGTGGGTCAGGCTCTCTCATTAATCTTGCACAGTATTCTTGTCTTCTTTTTTTTTGTTTTAAATTTCATTTTGTTTTTGACAAATAATAAAGTATAGAAGAGATACTGAAGAGAAAGAAGTAAAATGGCATCTTGGTTTACAATTTGTTCCACAATTTTGGAAAAGATGGCTGCATCTGTGTTCATGTAGGACCGATGGTTGTGGTCATGTTTATCACCCGATGTGGAATATTCAAACAAAAATAAAATTGTGCCAAACACTTGTTTGTGAACCAAACTGTTTGCAAATCCAACTGTTTGCAGACAAACGCATTCCTGGCTGGGTATGTAGCTCTGTGGCACAGTGCCTGCCTGGCAAGCGTGAAGTTACGAGTTAGATTCCCCATACCACACACACAGACAAAAAAGCATTCCTGAACCAAGGTACCACTCTATATAAAAGAATTTCAGGATGCATTCTTTGGTGCCAAATTGAAATATTAAATAACTAAGTGTGGAAACAACTCAAGTATTTGAGAAAAAGTAAAATTAGAGTCTTAGGTCCAATTAGATACAAAATATAATTTAGATTGATTTGAATATAAAAGCATAAATATAAAAGAAAAAGTTTAAGAATTAAAATGAAAACTATGCCTATAAAAATAAATTTAATATTTTAGGATTTCAAATGATATGAAGCATTTCCTAGAAATAACATATAAAGTAGATTTGCCAAGTAGAGTTCAGAAAATCCTTTCAAATGCTAGAGGTCTGTGGTAAAATGTGAGGTTAAAATAGTAAAAAACAAATGTCCATGTTGCTAAGGAAGATGTCACAGAAAACATCCTGCTATTCTGATAATGTTCTCTGGATTTATTTAAGTTTAGCGTACCTGGATACAGCTTGCTTCCTATTTCTGTCTGCTAAATAATATCAGATTTTGGACTATTCTTCAAATAAAGAGAGAATAAAATAGAGGAGTTTGATGTGAACAGAAATACTGCAGACTTGAAAAGGCTATGTTTTTGCCAAATGTGGAGGAATAACTACTTAATCTGGAAAGACATTTGAAGAGACGATGACACATCAACAAAATGTACTGGAGCCATGTGGGCCTGATTAATTTATCACGTTGAGGTGAAGCAAGCCAAAGAAGTTCAACTTTAATGCCTTTTTATAGCTCTGACGTTTGACTCTTACACCTGATGCTGATATGCTTTGAAAATGATTTTAAAAAGTGAAAAGTGGGACTTATGGGCTTATAATATTGTGAAATGTCCCAGAAGAAAGTGAAATGGGAAATGCTCACATGTGTATGAGAGCTGTTTCATTAGGAACTTGAGACTCTGTGTTGTTCCAAATGGGTTACCATCAGAAAAACAATAAATTTCAGGAAAAAAAAGTATATATCTTAAAAGCATGAGAATATATTTTACTTTATTATACCATATATGGTAATAGCTTGAGAGTATTTACTAACAGTTACTTGGAAGAAACGCTAAAAATATGACATTGACTTTTATGAAGAAAGCCAAGGAAATACAGGAAACAATTTCTTCTCAATCTCGAGATCAGATGTCTCCTTGGAGACATTCAGATGTCTTCTGAATGGTCTGGGCTGCAAAACGTACCTGCAGCTTGGAGAGTTCCTGCAGCAAGGGCTGCTCAATCTGCAACTTGTCACCACGTCTTTTCAATTCTGTGATTCCTGCGTCCAGTTCCTTTAGTCCCTCTTCAGCCTGCTGTATTGCCTAGGTAAGATTTGCAGCAGTTCATTAAAACTCCTAGGAATAACCTCCCACACCCCCAGAGAGTGTGATTGCTGTGGCTCTTTTTTGTTCATTCCTCCTGTCTTTCCACCCCATCCCCCCCCCAAAAAAATAATAATAATACAAAAAGAGTCACTTGAACAAAGCATGAAAACATAGGTATTATACAGAAGAGAGAAGAGGGCTCTCCTTTATCATACTACAGATCTTAGAGCTGAGGCTGCAGGAGAGATGCAGGGTGAAAGAAGGATGGCTTCCTTAGAGAAATGAGACTTAGTAATAGGCATGTATACATAAGAAGGAAAACACAGGACATAGTCAGGCTCCCTATGGGACTGTGCTTGTTTTCTTGAAAGGCAGCTAGGAGTGTCTTTGGAGGGCATGTCAGTGGGGCAACAGAAACACACATGACCGCATAGTCAGGGAATTCTTGCTAGCGGACCTCAAAGGGAAAATCAATCAATCAACTGTGAACACTCAGGTGGTTGTCACTGCAGAGCCTGGTCTTCCCAGTGTGAGGTCTGTAGAAACAGAAATAGATCTTATCCTGGACTTCCAGGAGCTCACAGTCTGGTCAGAAAGCCAAAGGAAAACAAAGCAAGGCTGAATATAATTCAGGGCTAAATTTCAGGAGGATGCAATTCATGGCTATTCTCTGGACAGGAGAGGAACCAGACCAGCAAACGTAGACTATGTTAGCTTTTAGATGAAGTGCAATCTCTGTTGTCCTTGAAGGATGAAAAGAACATCCATTTTTTTTTTTTCTTTCCTGAAGCCTCTCTGTAACTACAGTAAATATTTTGCTTGAGTGTTTGGGAGTGTTATTCTTTTCGTAAATCTCACAAGGACAAGCAATACAGGAGAAGATAATACCAACAAAATTCTGGAAGCTGAATTCAAAATAAAGTGGAGGTAGATTTAGGAATCTGAGAGACCTAAATCCTAATTCTGCAGAGGATGTGGACCACCGAGTTGAGGGCCTTGGGGACCCAGAGTGAAGGAAGGCAACGCCAGAGCAGGAAAGCAGGGGGAAGCTGCTCAGGAGCAGTGAAATCGCACCCAGGGCCTGCTCCTTGCCCCGCATGGCCCCTTTCCCTCCTGGTGAAAGAAGGGAACTCTCAAGACTGAAGGGTAACAGACACAGGCGAGTTTAAGTGCTGGACTGAAAATAGGGGTGAAGTGAAGTGATGCTGCATGAAGGCCCAAAGTCTTTTCCATTTCCAGAAGTCCTGTGGCCACAAGTCCTGTGGCCAGAAGTCCTGTGGCCAGGCCTTGATGGTCCAGATTGAGGAAAGACGGTCTCTTAGGACCAATAGAAATGGCCTAAATCGCAGGCAGACCACCAAGGGCATCTCAAAACTGTCAAGCTGCATCTTTATAGGAAGTTCCCATTCAGCTGCCTCATCTTCTAATCTCAAGGCAAACAGACAACGTGATGTCTACGTAGCTAGGAAAAACTTCCAGTATAACATACAGAGACTGATAAAAGCCTATAAATGAAAGCAATTTGGCAGGAAATTGATAGTGTAGAAAGAAGCAAATTCAACCAAAAGGCCATTAACATACTTAGATTACAAAAGACAATGCAGCTACTGAAAAAAGAACAGTACCCTACTAAAGCAGATCATCTGGAGAACCAAACAGCTTGGAAAACTGAATTATAGGAAAGCAAAAATTCAAAACTCAGTTGAGGAATTTGGAGCTGAAATTAAAGAAGTCTCTCAGAAAGTAAACCCAAAGGATACAGAAAGATTTCTTTATTGAAAAATTAGCAGATTATGCAGTATTTGATCAAAAGGTATTTCAGAAAGGTTACAAATATAATACAGAAGTAAAAAGTATTAGTAAATCTTAGATACATTTCCAGAATGGAAAGAGGAGAACTGCCAAATCAAAAAGGCCCATTGAGTTCCCAGACCAGGGGATAAAAATAGAGCTTTCCCCAGGCATGTGATTGTGAAATTTCAGGACACTGGGGACTTTTGGGAGTTAAGAGTGATTTTTAAATTCCTCAAACAGACTTTGGAAGCTGAAAAACAATGTAACAAAAGCTTCCAAACTCAAAAATTAATTAATTTTAAACAAGAATTCTATAAAGAGTAAGAACAATCCATGAAGGGTGAACGCAAGACTTAATCATTTTCAGAAATGCAAGATCTTAAATAAAAATACACATATAGTGCACCGTTTGTTGGTAAGAAAGACAGTAAAGAGAAAGACTCAGTATGCAGTGAGCAGAAGTGAAGGGAAGTGAAGGGCAGCTGGGGAAGGAAAAGCCCGAGAAGACAAATGTGCACTGGGCTGACGAGGCAGGCCCGCTCTGCACGGGACCCACATGACTTAAAGGAGTCACACCCGAGGGTAGCCATCCTCGTGCCTCTGCTACTCCTGTCTTCTTAATGCAAGGAGAGAAGAAATGGAACTAGCACACTGGTTACTGCTTGGCACTTATGCCAAGAAATAATATACTTGTTTCTTTCTGTGGCATTAATTCATTTTTATTGTTTAAAAATTAGTAAAAAAGGTTAACTGATTTATAGGATATAAATTATAGATATATATATTTCACTTTAGAAATCCAAGATAAGATACCACTATAGCTGTTCAAACCCCTTTTAGAACCATATATATTATTTTAAAAAAAAGAAAAATAGTTTCATGTGGAAGACAGAGCATAAAAGAAATATTTTCAATTGGAGTAAATAGGGAATCTCTTGAAAAAGTGGATAAAATTATGGTCAAGAAGAATGCACATTCACATGTAACATTCCTGTAACTGCAGAGTACTTTAGGTGACTTTCTGTCTGTTCCCAACATAGATACAGATAGATATAGATATAGATATAGATATAGATATAGATATAGATATAGATACACATCCTCGGAGAGATCTGTATTTCAGGTGATTGTCTTAGTTAACCCAAGGACCCTTTCTAACCACTGAAATTAAAAATTCTATGAAAACACATGATTTTTCATAACCTTGAGCCGATATCCTGTGTACCTTTCTCCCCACCTCTTTTCTCTTCCCTGTTTCCACTGCCATTATTACTTTTACGTTCTCAGGCTCCCCCAGGAAGCAACCCCCGTCAGCCTCTCCTGGCGCTCCCATTTTCTGACACTGGAGCTGTCGTGTCAACCTTCTAGAAGCAAGAGCTAGCTAGAGTGACACTCCTTCTCACCCTCACATCTTCCCAGCGACTTTCCCCTACCGGGAGTTTCCAAGCTGAATACGAGTGAAACTGGATGATCAGTTCACTGCGAGTGAGCAGGATGATCACCGTAATTCACTTACTGAGAGACACAGCCATATTCAGTTTTCATTTGTGTAGACGCTTTATGGGATAACACATGCCCGGCTATACCTCACGGATAAGCAAATCACAAATATTTGCAGTATATTTACTTCTAGCTAACATTCATCTGGCTCCACAAGCTGCTTCAAATGTACCCTAATTATATTTGCTCTCAATCACTTTCATCCATGCTAAGCTCAGCTAAATAGGATGACCTATATTTCCTCTAAGTGCTCAAGCTTTTTTTTTCTTTTAATTTTATGTATTTGGTACAAGGTCTCATTACGCAGCTCAGACTCATAATGATCTTCCTGTTTTTAGCCTCCCTAGTGCGCTCTCCCTGGGACTAGTGCTCATGCTTTTCAAAATGCATGCCTTTTTGTTGTTGCCCTTTTTGGTACATTTCTTGGGTCTCCGTATGTCAAACTCTCTCTAAAGTATTTCCTAATGCTACCGCTGTTAGAGGTAATCTGCCTTCTCCTGGGTGTTCAAGTGTTTCCCCTGTCCTTTTCTTTTTTTTGTCTTTTTTTTTTTTTTTAAATGTACTTAGGATGGGGTATACAGAGTATACAGGGTCTCACTACCTAGATCAGACTCATAGTGATTCTCCTGTTTTCAGTCTTCAGCCTTCTAAACTCTGGGATTACAGACATGCACCACCACGCCGTCTCAATCACTGCCTCCGCACGCCCCAGGGGTGGGGCTAGAGTGGCATGCCAGGGATTGAACTCCGGCCACTGTGCTCTGCCTAAGCAGGGCTTTAGTCTGCTGAGCTATCTGGCTGGCCCCCTCGTCCTTTTCTGTGGACAGTTCGGCATTCTGTCCCGCCACTGAGCCTCATACCTGTATCACTTCTTGACAGACACTGCTGCGTGGCATCTGTGACTGACACTTCCTAACACACATGAAATAGGTGACAGAATTCAATGTTACCCTGCATATTATTTCAACTCAATATTCAACATCAAAATATATCATCTGCTATTTGAAGTTTCATAGTAAAGTGGCTATCTATGCATTTGTTTTTCTAAGAAAAAGCAGCTGTACGTACCTCTTTCTGTGCTGCTACAGGCTGCTCGAACACATTTGCCAGTTTCTGCAGAATGATATATTTGTTGTCCGCCAGTGAGGTAAACAGCACCTTCAAGTCATTCTAAGGAGAAGGTAACAGGAAGCCTTAACATCCCACAGGAACTTTGAAACAGTTGTAAATACAATGCAGGTTCTTAGAAGGGAGGAACTGGTCCTAAGACTCAAAATAAGACAAAGTCTGAGGGTGCTCAGGTGCCTTGTACAGAGTGGCACAGTACTTGGGTATATCCGAGGCATGTCCTTCCTTATGCATGACATCATCTCCACATTACTTACAATACCCAGCACAATGTAGGCCTCATGCATGCAGCTGTTATGCTGAATAGTCTAGGGGATGATAAAAGCGTAATGATCCATAGAGATGTGTTTCAATCCACAATTGATTCAAAGTACACAAGCAGAACCCAAAGTTATAGAATGGGGCTGGGGAGATGACTCAGTGGAATAAGCGCTTCCCTGGCAAGTGCATGAGCCTGAGTTCAATTCCCGGTTCCGAAAGAAAAAAAAAAGTTATGGAAGGCTGACTGTAAAGGTATAGCATAATTTGCAGGAGAAATAATACTGCTCTATAGGAGTGAACAATTCACCTAGGTGCTAAACTCAAATTTTGTAGAATTTATGACACACAGCATTTTTCACATAATACAAATGGAGTTAAAACATAAAGCAATATTGGTTACCCTAATCTTGCTATGTCTGAAGTACATGGGCATATCCAAATATTTCAGCACAAAAATTATACTAACAAGTTTTATCTAAGAAAACAGCCTATAGGTATTACCCTGATTTGGGGAATAATATGATTCTTACATGACTCCTCACTTCTCTTTTCCCTCCTCTTTGCTTCCCTTTCTTCTCCTTTCTTGAAAGAATTTGTACAAACTTATAAAACACCATCAAGAAGTTTCAAAAACAATTATGAACTAGTAAGACTCAGAACATATGAAGAGAAGACAGAAAACCTTAGCTAACTCTTTGTTATATATTACTCCTCTAAATAAGGAGCTAGCTATCAGAATTGTACAAAATCCCACAAAAAGGAGCTAGCTATCAGAATTTTGGCATTAAATTCCAGAGGAAGTAATTGAACAAAAAACAATTTAAATTATAACAGCTAAATTTTGCCCAGGACAGCAAATCAACTCTATTTTTCACAGAGACAGACATGTGTGAGAGCCTGGCTGTTCACTGACTGAAGCAAAATTCATGCCATTCTTTTGGCCAGGAGCTGGCTATGTACAAGCACACGTCACCAAATATAAAAGTCCTTCCCATCTCTCGAGCAGCAGGAGGAACTCACTAAGGAAGAATAGACCCTGTTAGGATGTGTGGAGGCATGATAATGCCACGCAAGACTAAAAGCAAAATAGTGGGTACACAGAGGGCCTGGGCTGTATCTCAGTGTCCTGCTTGCCTGGCACATATAAAGTTCTGAATTTTAGCCTGGTGCTGAAAGAAAAGAAAAAAAAGAAAAGAAAAGAAAAGAAAAGAAAAGAAAAGAAAAGAAAAGAAAAGAAAAGATAAAAGAGAAGAAAATAAAAGAAAAAAGGGAAGTGAAGTGCAGCCAGGCATGGTGGTGCACGCCTGTAATCCCAGCACTTTGGAGGTGGAGGCAGGAGGATTATTGCTGGTTCCAGAGCAGCCTGGTCTACAAAGTGGCTCAAAGACAGCCTGAACTGCATAGCAAGACCCTGTCTCAAAAAAGACAAAAAAAAAGAAAAAGAAATAAAGAAAGAGAAAAAGAACACCTATAATCCCAGCACTTGGGAAGCTGAAAACAGGAGGATCACTACAAGTCCAAGCTGTGTGGTGAGATCCTATACTAAATCCAAAAAAAAAAAAAAAAAAAGTATGAAGAAGGAAAAGATTATTTGATTTGAAGCTGTGTATAAAGAGCTAATATATTATTTGAAGTTTACATTTACAGCACTGAGAGGCCAAGGCTGAAGGATTACAGGTTCAAACCTAGGCTGGGCAACGTAGACCATGTATCAAAAAAAAAAAATTTTTTTTTTAAACAGTTGAGGATACAGGTAAGTGCAAAGGCTTTAGGTTCAATTTCCAATAATGAAAAAACAAAACCAAAATAAAAGAGTAGAAATGAAAATATAGTGCTGAACACAAGAACCAAAATCAAGGATTGACACTAAAATTGAAACTGACTTGCAGGCCTAGTGCTGAGTAGGAGACTGGGACAGCAGCACTGAAAATGAATGTTCGTGTGTTTCAAGCATGTTCATGGTTAGGTCATAAGGGTGGTGAGCCTTATCACAGGTGTATCGCTAAGCACAGCAAAAGATGTCTCTTACTCATTGAATAGATTCAAAAGCAAAATGTCTCCATTATTGACATAGACTTATAACATCAGTTCTACTAATCTAAAGGGTAGACAAGTATAAGTAGCATAATATGTATATTTCTTGTGTCTGATCTTTATATTTTAATAACATATTTTCTCTTAACTATATTCTACTCATGATAAAAAATAGGGTTATTTCTAGAAGTCACATTCATTATTGGGAAAGGCTAATGAAGACAATAATATGACTGATTTGAAATTACTATATACAAATCATTAAGGACTAGGAGTATTATATGATGCTGATATTTTTAAAAATAAAATTATAAAGGATTTAAACAATTATTAATAAACCTGCAATATAGAAATACAGTCAAGGTAACTATATATGTTCACATATAGACGTAGCAGGCATCATAATTTAGTTCTGCCGTAGTCAGTAGGATTATGGCAAGGCATGAAATGGCAGGATTCTACCCATTTGAGGAATAGATTCATAGTAAGTCTCATCATTTAAAACCAGTTACAGTCTCTTGCTGCAGCAA